TGATCAGAGACATATATGACGAGGCATTAGGGAAACAATAATCTAAGATTTGAGACTGTTCTTTAAATTTTCAGCTATGATTGCTGTCACTGGATTTAGCAAATATCTTAGACAATCTTTTGAGGAAATAGCTCAATAAGCTGCCCTGATCAAAAGGGTCATGATCTCCCACATATTGAGGATATGATTAACAGCAACACAACACATCATTCACTCTTGTTCGAAACTGCAGCTGTTTCCGCACCTGTAGGAATCTGTCAGCACACCCCAGAGAAGGCAAAATGGTTTTAGAAAACTTCCAGTGAAGGCTAGCCAAAATGATGAAGAGACTAGAGAAGTGTCTGCATGAGGCCAGGTCCTGGAATCAGAGAAAATACTCTCAAAATTGGAAAGAAAAAGATTAAGCTGTAATATAGTTCAGGGTAACTAAATTATTTAATATATAGATTGAGTATTCAGGACCTTTTTCTTCAAATCCTAAACACAAGAATTAAAGTGCATTCTTAGAATATCTATCTATCACTCATCTATCATTTTCAGGGGAAAAATATCTTATAATTTGAAAGAGGTGGTTTTAAACAATTAGAAGGCATTATTACTTCGTATTGTGGTTAGTAATTTTCTGTATTCTTTAGTCCAAAAGGTAACATACACTAGTAATGTAGCTAAATCCAATAAATGATTACATAATCCCATGGATTTACAGCTAGATAATGATACTGAGAGAACCAAAGTTCATTGGTACTACGTCCTGAAATTTTCAAGTTTGAGGACACACAACCTGGTAGTAAGGATTTCTGATGCTTCTTAGACCAGAATACTGGTCTAGATGGATGTTTGATTGGACACAGTCAAATATTATGGGTGTTTTCATGAAGGAGCTCTCAGCTTTCACTGTTATGAAAAAAACACAGCACTTAATTTAATTTTGTGACAGGAAATTATAATGGATGAACATTCCAGACTTCTGGAAGTATTGCAGTAATTATTTTATTAGCAAATAAACATGTATAACTTAATGCCTTAAATATAACATTGTTAAATCATAACTATTTACATAAGGTGAAATAGTTGCATTTTTAAGCTTTTACTAGACACTGCATAGATAAATTTCCTGGTGATCATTGAAATACTACATATAACACTGAGATTCACTACAAGCTGGAGAGTCACTTGGCCTTTCTCTTGGCAGTTATGAAGTTAGCACAGACTAAGGCGAGGAGACACATCACGTGACCATGGCTTGCTGATTTCAATCAACATTAAATTCTCAGCAAATCCAAGAGTCTACCCTCACCATTTCCCACAGAATCATTTTTAACTCTTCACGTGGAAAAACTATCATCTTAGCTCAAATGTACTTTAAGTATTTCCTATATTTTAATATTCTCCCTTAGATTTCCTTATGGTAAGCTGCTGGCAGGCCTCTGGACAGCAGGAGATGAAGCAGTAACAGGAAAAGAACTAATATTTCCTAGAAGTCACTGCACAGGCCAATTTCAATAAACACTTTATTTTCATTCAGCCCTTAATTAACAGAACAAGTATAAAATAAAATTGCCTGATTTGAGTTTGATTTCCTTTGTATGTTCTTGGTCTCTTCTTGGTGAAAATTCTCTACCACTTAGTGACTCAAAAAGGAAAATGAAAACAGAAACCACACTTCACCAAAGAAAATCACCAAAGAGGTCACTTGGGTACTATTTTAACATAGAGGCTCTCAAACATATTTGCCAAGAATGCAATTATAGAAAGAAATAAATTATTTCCCCACTTCCTATCAGAAATAAAAAAGATGGAAAAGAGAACAGTGAAAAACTAACGTAATCCTCATAGAAGCCTGCTATTAACTTTGCTCATCCAGGAGCTCTTAGAGTGAGTTCACATGAGGCACAAATCTTCACAAATAAACACACAATGAATACAGAAAAAACTCAGCATAAACATATTTCAACTTAAATTCTAAGATGATCTATCTACTAACAGACAGTGTTAGGGTAGGGGAAATTATGAGAAAAATATAAATTTTAGTCTTCTCATATACGGTTAACATTTGTTTTAGGAACAATGACCAAGAATGCTATATTCTGAACGTGGTTAGTAACACAGGGGTAAATAAATGAAGTTGATTTTCTATGAGGCACTTTTCTATGAAAAGTATATCCTTTTCAATATGACAACATATTCAATCAGATTTTATGAGCCTACTCTCCCTAATGTCTGACCTTTAATGTATATACACACTGTTATTCCTAAAATGACTATTTTTACTTTACTTACACTGCATGTGTTTGTTAATTCTTTTTTCCAATCTATCAGTCACATCTGCAGCCCAAGTATTTCTTTCCAAAAGAAGAATTAAGGCCAAGCTAGACAAAGAATTTGCTGATACACGTGTCACTCCAAGAATTTTCCTGACAAATTCTCCACATCCAATTTAATTACTTCCCTACTGTAAAAACAGTTTCCATCTACATTTGTTCTAATCTTTCTAAATCCAAAACCAACACACTATAAAGCTAGCTAAATAAATGAATTATATTAGCTCTACATTCCAAGTGAGGCAGCATTTTATAAGTCAGTGGGTCTCCACCTCGCATACATTTTATGCTGATACAGTATTTCATTTGGAGCTCAGTTCTTTACTTTAGATTTTGTTTAGAATAGAATTATCTAGCCCCAGGATTTAAAAAAAACCTCATGAATCAGTCAATCTCTTCCTTGACTCCCAACCCCCACTCTTTCTGACACATATGCATGCATGGGAGGGGACAGGGAGCAAGAGAGAAAGCAAATATGTGAACGCTTGTGGTTCTTAATGAGTAAAAAGAATGTATATACATGTGCAAGTAATGCTACTTAGAGTTTATAATAAAGACATTTTGTTGGTTTTATTTTTATGTTATAAAAACTCAACCTCAGTACACACATACAATAAATACTATTTTTGGCATTCTTTTATTCAATGACTACTCAGTTATATTCTTTTTGTACAAAATGTTCTTTAGCATATGTTGCTCTCTTCTTGGTGTTCCATCATTGCATCAACTATGTGCCAGTTTTGGCACTCCAATACTTAAATACCTGTGAATAGACAGAGAATCCAAGAATAGCCACATCTTTAAGTTACTGACACTTGCAGGGTATGAAGACTGTCTCTTGCACTAGAAGTTAGAATAGACCAGCCACTAGCAAAATGTCTGAGCAAATGTGAACACGATTCTAGGTCACCGAGCTAAGATTTCAATAAGTAAGGATTGTTCTGTTAGTTGTTTTGATATCACAAAGCTTTAGAATCCTTAGAAATTGATTTGCCTAATTTCACACATTTATATTACAGATTAGAAAACTTTAAGAAGTAGCTAATCCATGGCAACCAATTACTGGTTTCCAGGAAGTCAAGGTACTTTTCTTGTATATTATATTAAATTACATACAATGTACTAGAATAATATATAATATATATTATAAAATGATAAAATATATTTTAAATAGTCTTTGAAAAATAACCATTATTTACTTTAAAAATAAAATTGTATTTTTAAGGCCATATAGTTTGGGATTGGCCACATAAATGAAAATCATCTAATTCTAGGTTTAAATACATTGAGCTTTAAACTCTGTTTCTTCTCTAACTTACTATATTAATTGTGAACGCAATCAGATGGCTTCCTGCTTGTTTAAAATGTATATATTTGCATAGCACTATCTGTCCAAAAGTACTGAATAGTCTTAAGGGTAAACATTTTTGATATAAAATATTAATAATAAGGATGATCATATTGCTCTATTTTTCCTACTACTCCTCAAGACCAGCTTTGCAAAAATTATCTAATTACTTAATAACAGGTCACTCATAAAGATCAGCAAAATGATTAGGAAGGAAATGTCCAAAACAAATACAGGTTGGACATTCCTTCTCTCCATGCATCCTGGAATTACTCTGCTTTATAGGAGAAAATTTAATTGTCCATTTCCTAGTGCTCCAATAAGCTAAAACTACTTGGTCTATTTTGATACCTAGTTATAAAGAACAAAGATCAAATGCCAAAAATCCTATATCATATTATATACTGATGACCCAAAAGAAAAAGCACATACAATCTTTTAATATAATATGTGTAGCAACTAATTGTAGGAACATCATACTGCATAAAACAAAGGAACAGTACTCAAACTGTAAATGGACTGCACATAATGTTACTTGCTCTCCAAAGAGAATATGTTGGTTATTAACATTTTACCTAGATCTATATTGTTTTATTATACCAAGAAAATAACTACATCTATCATATGCTGGAGCAAGTAGGTCAAAATAAACTAAGACCCTTCTCAGCATTAAATATCAATTTCCTGATGCAAAGTCAACTTATATCATCAACATCATATTCAAGATATATGTTTATTATTGTAATGGTATTTATAATACTTTTAATTATACAGTTACAATTAAGGCCTAGATTTT